CACGGCGCACACAGAGACACAGGCCCACTCAAAAACACGTTGTAGGCACCTCAGTCCCAACCGCGACTACTCGTCCACCAAGATATAACAGACAAACGCAAGCGTAAGCCCTACCTCCTCGGCGGCCATTTCCCGCAGCATACGAACTGACCTTGACGTCCCACCGCAGCACAGGGCACCAGCAAGCACACACAGCACACACGCCGAGCGCAGCCAAAAAAGCCGCTGCCACAGCACACGCACGCACACACTCGCCAATGAAATATACCACGGATTATAGACACTGGAAACGATTCGGTTCCCTTTCAGCAGTTTCAGGTACTCTTTAACTCTCTTTTCAAAGTTCTTTTCATCTTTCCCTCACGGTACTTGTTCGCTATCGGTCTCGCACCAATATTTAGCTTTAGATGGAATTTACCACCTACTTTGCGCTGCATTCCCAAACAACGCGACTCAAAGAAAACGGATCGTACGCACGAGCAACTCAGGGATGAACGGGAGTATCACCCTCCATGCTGTCCTCTTCCAAGGAACTTGCCCCAAGCGCCCACACTGATCACGCCTCTATAGACTACAATTCGCCGCGCAAAACTTGCACGGAGATTTTAAGCTTGAGCTCTTCCCGCTTCACTCGCCGTTACTAGGGGGAATCCTTGTTTAGTTTTCTTTTCCTCCGCTTATTAATATGCTTAAGTTTCAGCGGGTAATCTTGCCTGATATCAGGTCCAATTGAGATGCATACCGAAGTACACAACATTTCCCAAATGGATCGACCCTCGGCAGCCGAAGCCGCCACTCTACTTCGCAACAGCAAAGCCGATTCAAATGCCAAGCTAAAGAGCCATGGTTCACCAGTCCATCACGCCACAGCAGGAAAATCACCCAATAAGCGCATTGTTCAGCCGAAGCCAACCATACCACGAATCGAGCATTTCTCCATTAACGCCGCAGCAGACAAACCGGTCGCCAACTCGCTACAATAGCAGCGTCCACAACCAGCAATGCCACCACTTTTGGAGCAAAGAGAAGTACAGTTTAGTACATTTAAAAGGACTCGCAGTCGGTCCGAAAACCAACCGCAAGACACTTCACATCTGGCATCTCCTCCACCGACTACACGGAAGGAAGAAAGCCAAGTTTGTTGTACGGACACTGATACAGGCATACTTCCAGGACTAACCCGGAAGTGCAATATGCGTTCAAAATTTCGATGACTCACTGAATCCTGCAATTCGCATTACGTATCGCAGTTCGCAGCGTTCTTCATCGATGTGCGAGCCTAGACATCCACTGCTGAAAGTTGCTATCTAGTTAAAAGCAGAGACTTTCGTCCCCACAGTATAATCAGTATTAAGTAAAGGGTTTAAAATAAAAAAGCTACTAGCTCAGACCGAAGTCCAAACGCTCGCCTTTTGATAGGGCTCGCCCAGCAGTAGCCGCCAGCAATAAAGCCAGCAGCCGCGCCAAGTAAGACCCCCAACTATTGGGGTGAAACGGTTCACGGGGAAAGTTTTTAGGTGTGGGAATGATCCTTCCGCAGGTTCACCTACGGAAACCTTGGTACGACTTCACCTTCCTCTAAATGGCGAGGTTTAAAAAAGTTCCCATCAATCCACTCGCAATAAAGCAAACAGACTCACGGTCCCAATTTTTCACCGAGTCATTCAATCGGTAGGTGCGACGGGCGGTGTGTACAAAGGGCAGGGACGTAATCAATGCAAGCTGATGACTTGCGTTTACTAGGAATTCCTCGTTCAAGACTGAAAATTGCAACAGTCTATCCCTAGCACGATGCGCATTCACAAGATTACCCAGACCTATCGATCAAGGTTGTATACTCGTTGAACGCATCAGTGTAGCGCGCGTGCGGCCCAGAACATCTAAGGGCATCACAGACCTGTTATTGCCTCCAACTTCCTTTGGTTTGATTACCCAAAAGTCCCTCTAAGAAGTCCACAAACCTACCAAAAATGGTAAGCGGAACTATTTAGCACGCGGAGGTCTCGTTCGTTAACGGAATTAACCAGACAAATCACTCCACCAACTAAGAACGGCCATGCACCACCACCCATAGAATCAAGAAAGAGCTCTCAATCTGTCAATCCTTACTATGTCTGGACCTGGTAAGTTTTCCCATTACTAGCAGCAGTAGCTGTATGAGACTGCTGTTGACACTCGAGAGACAACCGCGGCATCGATTGCAAGCGCTTGCGGCTGCCGTCGACAGGCACAAGCAGTCGGCCGTTCGATCCTTTTGTGTGATAGGCGAGCGCGGTGGTGGTGACCTTCTATCTACCACCCCCAGCCACCGAAGCCGCCGCCGCCGAAGCCACCCCAGCCACCCCATCCGCCGCAGCGACCCCAACCACCGCAGCCTCCCCAGCCTCCCCACGGGCCTCCCCATCCGAATCCGCCGCCGCCCCATTCCTTCTTCTTCTTCTCGTCGCCGTCTTTGTTGTCGGCATGCGTGGCCTCCTTGCCGGCAGCGTCGACGGAAGCAGTGGCCGCGGCGGGTTGCTGCACGTTGTGCTCCGCAGTGACAGGAGCGACAGGTTTTGGGCACGGCGAGAGCTCTGAGAGCCGGCTGGTAGTCGCTGGCGGACGCGACGGACGCGACGGCGACTAGCGTGGTGACGGCGAGAGTGGTGAACTTCATGGCTTTCAGTTGGTCGGCCGGTATGTCGGACGGGTCGGTACTCGCTCACTCGGTTGTGTGAAGGAAGGCAAGTTGTCGTGTGGGAGTGAGGTTGGTGGCCGGGCGGTGGCCCGTTGATGGTGGTGGTGGTGGTCTGGAGTGTGAAAAGTCTGCGGGTTTTCTGCTCGCTGGTGTGGCAGTCGACTTGTTGGTCATTTTCCGGTCGTTTCCGCTGGTCTGTAGTGATGTTGATGGATGTGGCTAGTGGCCGGTTGATACCTGCTAGACGGCGGCTACGTTCTTCGATGGCGAGCGTCGAGCGTTGAACGCTGATTGTTGCTATTGATTGGACGCCATTGCCACAGCGTAGGCAGAGCGCGCACCACCGCCAGTGGCCATAAAGTTCGAAGTCGACCGTCGTGATGCAGTGGGTATGCCGCTTGCAGTGGAGAAGTTAGTTGTTGTTTGCATCAGTATTGGGCTGCTGGTTCGTGACGGTAGTGGCCGCCATTGGCCGGTCAAAGTCGTAGTACTGTTATTGGATTGAATCGGCAGGAAAGATACAAGCTCGGACTTGCCGGCCAGCTTTGCAATCGAGCAAGACAAGGGACGAAAAGGCAAGAAAGAAGTCTGGATTCTCAATTATTTTGTATGGAGTGATTACTAGCAGCAGTAGCTGTATGAGACTGCTGTTGACACTCGAGAGACAACCGCGGCATCGATAGCAAGCGCTTGCGGCTGCCGTCGACAGGCACAAGCAGTCGGCCGTTCGATCCTTTTGTGTGATAGGCGAGCGCGGGGGGGGGAACCTTCTTATCTTCCTCCCCACTCTCGAAACAAAGACCTCT